TTTCGTAAGATTATTATTACATAAATTACATTTAGTTTTACTTTTGGTGCTGTTTTACTGTGTTGTTTTTTGTTTGTTTTTATGTGTGTAAGTTTCTTTGATGATTGCCAAAAAAATTTTTCATGCTGCGAATATTTTTCTCTTTTTTGGTTGTCAGTGACAGCCACACCAATGTTGATTCCTTTTGCGTTTATTTTTAAATGTTTAGGAATAAAACGAAATATGATAAATGCATTAAAATTACTTTTTTAAGTTTATAGGTCACATGTTTTTAAAAGTTTCTTGGCGCGTATGTTTTTTGTTTTTTTTTTAATTAAAAACAATCTACGAATGAATGAATGTAACATGCGCAAATATTTGCCCTCTGAGAAATGTGCCCAATAATTAAGAGTTATCTCCCTTCGTCTTCTAATTTTAACATGAAAAATGGAGCCTGTGTATTCTAGCTCTTCAGGTGAAAACGTTAGGTTTTTAACTGTTCGGAAAATAATATTTCTAGCCTATTAACAATACATAATGTTTGTTTATATAAGGAATAATGGTCACAATTTGTGACGGTTATCAAAAATTAGCTTTACGTTTTATTTTTTGTTTTTATTTATTTATTAATGGTTGCATGGTAAACGATATAAATTTTTATGTTTTATTATAAAAATTGTACTTGAGATATAATTTTTTTTATATATTAAGAACAATTTTATGTGAAAATTATGAAAGAGTGGAAAACGTTTTTATATGACTTTATTGGAGAAAAAAAAATTGTTTACCTTAAGGCTTAACGACTTACTCATGGGCACAAAGGAGAGGAGACACTGAGTTTAGCCGATTTTATTTAGCTTCTTTTATTTTTGTTTGTTTTAATCACTTTTGTTATTAAATATCCCATATTGTGATAACAAAAGAACTACTAGAATTTATTAAATTAATTTGAGAATCACTACTTCACTACAATGTCTTATAAGTAAAAGTTACTTGAAAAACATCTCTCGTGTTCATATAATTTTTTTTTTAAATTCCTTGAGACTTCACCCATATATTCCTTGTGGCAATTATTACAAATGATAGAGTAAATTCCACCTTCAAGATTTAACCATTACATTAAACACAATAATATCAATGGTGAATGTAGCAGTTGCTGATGACTATTGATTGTATTAGACCAATAATTACTGCATTAAAATTATAGTCTAAATTGCATAACTAATAGACTGCATCAGTAATTTGTTCTCATTATTGATTGCTCTTTATTTGCTTTTTATTTTCCTTATTTACTAAGCATAGACTAAATTTAGTACATGTATTGAGCAGCCAGTGAGTACTGAACTTACTATTTTTTTTTATTAGTTAGTAGTATAAAACAGTTCAAATTCCATTCAGATCCATTCACTTACATGCTAATACCTGTGGGAAAAGTATGAATCCTCTTCTTCTCCCCCAGTTATGGGTAAATAGGACAGACTGGGTTCTGTAGCTTTGGATAGCAACTGGTCTACTGTAGAAGTGGCAACCTACTGTAGGGGGGGGGATCTACCTCGTCAGTCATGTATCAAAAGACATGATTGCCTAAGCATGTATCACGCATGGCACATAACTGACTGAAGTAAATAAATATTTAAATAATCTTATATGCTTGCTTTTGGGAGTAGTGCAAAAGAAAGTCAGATGGTTTAGTAAAAATTGTTTCTTTTGTGTGTAAAAGTTTCTTTGTTTAGAATTTGCTCTAAAAAGAATCACCAGAAATAACTATCACAGTGGATTGTTGGGATTAATTTTTCAAATTCTGGAAAAAATATATTGCCATCATATTTTTTTGTCCAGTGAAAAGGGTGGTTTATTTTCTCATAAAGTTAATGTTGAGGCCCGTTTGAGCCTTGTCTGATGATATTTAAGACAGGTCAGCATATGAACAACAGAAGTTTACATGTCATGTGTGACAGAAGTCGGCTGGCAGAAGACAGATGTCAGATGTGAAGCTGGCTGCATTTATATTTTGAGCTTCCTCATATGAAAGTCATCAACAGAGCAAAGGGAAGAAAGGTTTCAGCATTCTTAAATTCTTTAGCATTCTTACTACACTGACAAGATATTTCACAATAACATAAAACTTCCCAGAGACTCTTACATGAAAAGCAAAAGCCAAAGAAATACAAGTAGAAAGAAAACAGAATGACATTGCAAAAATATTATTAAACTTCCGTGATACTTTCATAAGAAAAACACATAGGTTTTCTCATTTATCTATTATATAGATGCAGCTTTTTTACTAAGAGTAATTTCTTCTTTTTTGTAAGTTTTTGTATCACCTTCTCAAAGTATTTTCTTTCATGATTTGAAAAAAATTGTATTGTAAATCTTTTTTAGAGACAATTATATAATTTTATGCTATTTTGCCTTCTTCATAATAAAGTGCATAAAAGGAAATTTTTGTGCAAGCCTTTTTTTTTTTTTTTTTCTAAAATTTTTACATTGTTATATTGTCCTATATCTGAATAATAAATGCTTGTGCCTTTCAACTTTCACAAGGTAGTTATGAGTCTTGTTTGTTGCTCTGTGCATATTTTTTAATACTTGTGATGAGATTAGTGACATTCTTTCTTCAACCATTCCCTCTCAGGAAAAACAAAATGGAGCAGTGAATGAGCATTAAACTCACTACTCTATAATAGCTGATTTTTACAAGACTATCTTGCTAACCATTACACCACAACAAAGTGCCTATCTGCCTTTTATTTTCTTTAAATGAGAATAAAACAGTGAATTATATGCTCTCTCTCTAAGGAAACAGATTTTATATATCTATATAAAAGACAATTTGGAAATTTCTATTTCAACATTTCATTGACTGTCTTGTATCATCATAAAAAAAACATTTATTTCAACAAATTCTATATTAGGGAGACAAAGTGTAATTCATGTTAAATATATGAATACTTGATTTTTTTACTTTAACTGTATCACTTCAGAAATTAGATTTCAACTAATCAACACAGTTTGGTTTTTAATTTATTTATCAGATTTTTTTTGCAAATATTATCTATTCACTACAGGGCATCATAATCTTATGTTCCAGTTGTGGTTGGATGGGATAACAAATGAAAACATCAATAAACTGCCTGTGAGGAAGTGTGAGAAGATAACAAAATTGTTAATATAAAATTCTTTGTATTGCCAATTCAGTGGATGTGAGCAGATTGTCTCTTTGGGGGCAAGGGAAGCAACTTGAAAGAAGAGTATAGCTGGTAGGACCTAGAGTTAATGCATATGTCAAATTGGTTGACCAGGGTCATTGGCGGTGACATTGAGTGCTTGCAGGTGGCATCAACAGCTTGCCCGTTTGCCACAATTATCCTTCTTTTTTATATTTTTTCTTTGGTGTTGTGTACAATGAACAAATAGTAATTATTTATAAATTTGACATTTTTTGCTTTTATTTAAGCTTCATCAGAAATTAAATATGGGGAATGTAACAATTTTTTCCCACATATCATTAAGAGATAACTAGATAGATCCCTTTTCCTTTGAGTCAACATAAAAAGTCAAACTTTTCAGGAAATTCATCTTTGAAAAAACACTGACATCTTAAGTGTCAGTGTTTTGGGGAATTTTGTCTCCAGTGGCCTTTGAATTGGCAAACATAAAATGTTGTTAATGATTTTAGATAATCATAAAAGTAGAATCTTTCAAAGATTTGACCACCCATCTGACTTTTGGGTGGTTTTTAGTTCTGGAATGCAAAGGGACATCTAGGGGTGGTGGGACCCCAGACATTATCCATATAAGCAGAGAGAAGCAGGAAATCCAGGAGAAAGAGGTCCAGCAGACAGAAGTAGGTAGGTAAAAGTGAGTAGCTGCCCAGCAGCCAGGGAGGAAGGTACCAGTGAAAGTTAGGGAGATAGCAGTTCAGCCTAATGAAAATATGGGCCAACTAAGTGAGAATTTGTAACAGACAGGATGGCATGTCCTCATATAAGGAAGCCAGTATCAATAGGCAGAAATTACAAACCTACACCTAATTCTTAATTTATAATTTTTATTTTGCCATCTTAAATTAAACTTATATCCTGATTTGTCAAAAAAGGCAACACCCTTTTAAAACTTTGTAATCCCTTTTCCTCTCCAACTTAAACTATATAATAATATTTAACTTAAAAAAAGTAAATCATTTTTCAACATCGCTTGAGAATGAAACAAAAACTTTAATTTTAAGTCTAATTTAAAATTTAGTTTTTAGTTCCGAAACACAGTAATTTCTGTGTTGCGATGAATGCATATTTTTAAATAAAATATATATATATATTAAAATGGATTTATTAATCTAACAGATTTGTTATCACTTTAAACATTATTATTGGTGGATCCCCATATTTGGGTAGGCGCTCTGTTTATATATTAAACTGTATATTTATTTATTTTCACCTAGCAGCCAAAATTTTGAGAAATCTTCAAGAAAAACTTGTTCTTCAGCAAAATACACACCTATATAGACACATGCATGAGCTAAAAATGTTATATAGACAGATATAAGATATAAAGATATTTTTAATGTTACTGAGACATTAGGTTTATAAGTCACAAAGATTCACTCACAGAGGTCCTCAAGGACACAGTAAATAAAAGCGTTGGTTGACTTGACCAAAGAGTTGTGAGTTCAATACCTGGCCACAGCAGAGAGAACAAGAACTGAAACTGAGATATCCAAAAAAAAAAAAAAAAAATTCATGAAATGCGGAATTAGAACAATCTATTGCCATTCATTAAATAAAGGGTTGGTTAAAAATTCCAGTGTATATCACCTGAAGAAGGCTGGAGTGTATAATGGTCGAAATGATATGAATATGGCAATAAAGATGAGAACAACAGTTTGAATGATATAAATAATGTAAATAGTACAAATGACTCATCCTCCAACTTTTCCAAGTTTTATAGAGGTACTCTCCTACTTATAAAATTAAGATAAATCTGTTGAATTTCTTTAAAATGTACCACATTTATTATTTGCTTATGCCCACATCAAGGTGAAACACTAGTTCCTGTATGATCTCTGAAGTTAAGTCATGTCCAGCCTGGTCAGTGCCTAGATGGGTCACCACTTGAGAATATCACGCGCTGTAAGCTTGGATGTGCAGGTGTAGTAATGTACAATGGCCTGGAATGGTTAATTGGAGCACTGAGTTCCAATCCAGTTAATTTGTGATATTCACTTAGGCACAAATACCTTTGGGAAAGGTATGAATCCACATATTCTCCCCCTGTCTATGAATTAGTAAAACTTTTATCACTAAATCATTATCACAAAAATAATTCTTACAATCTAAAATATTTCCTGGCTTTAAATAACCTACCTGCAAAAGGTTGACAAGCTGTAGAAAACAAATCAATCACATTTATTTTTTAGGTAGAAATCTTTGAGATGTTTGTATATATATATATATATATATATATATATATATATATATATATAAAACAGTAGTGAATAGCTGCACTATATTTAGTCTAGTTAGTTCCTTTGTCACCAAGGCCCATTGATCTAGTGGTATAATGCTTGTGTTACATCATAACAGTCCAGGTTTAATTCTAAGCAGTGTGCATCCACTGCTAAATCCCAAATAGGACAAAACGGCCATCCACGGCTTTCTGCATTATGTTGAGGATTCTTCTAGGCTCAATGAATTACCTAATTATAACTATTCAAATCACCCAAAATTTTTATCACATATATCCTTGCTTGATCCAGTTTCTACTGCTTTGGAGGTAGCAGCTTGGTGAAAGAAGACATTGCTCTTGGGGACACTCCGTTGGGTTACATATAATTGGTTGAGTATCAACACTGGATTTTAGTGAGTAGCTGAACTATATGGAGTCTAGTTAGTTTCTTCTTCATCACCAAAGCCCATTGGTCTAGTGGTATGATGCTTGCATTGTATCGTAACAGTCTAGGTTCGATTCTCAGTAGTGAATATGCACTGCTGAGGAGTCCCAAATAGGACGAAACAGCTGTCTAGTGCTTTCTGCATTCCGTTGAGGATTCTTTTAGACTCAATGAATTATTATGTATTGTATATATAATCATTTTAAATGTCATTTTTAACAAATACTTGTATCTAAGTAGGGGCTCCGTTTATTTTTTGAACAGTATATTTATTTTCATCTACTAGCCTGAATGAGAAATCTTAAAAATTTGTGCTCTCTGGCAGGAATTGAACCTGTGTTCCTCAGGGTAGAGAGAGCTATGATTTAGCCCAGCAAGCCTTAACCAACTTGGCCAAAAAGAGCAGTCTGCCAGGCAAGACCAAATTTTGTGCTTTCAAGCAAGATTTCTCCTGTTATAGATCTCTCAAAGTTTTTCATATCTGCACATAAATATAGACAATTTTAGAATAGACTTTTTTTTATTAGTATATCTATTTTACATATATATATATTATATATATGTATATTATATATGTCTATATTATATAAAATTATAATATTATATATGTGTATTTTACATATATATATTGTATATGTGTATATTATATATATGTATAAATATATATATTATATATATATATATATATATTATGTGTATATTGTATAACATTATATGTATTTTACATATATTATGCATATATTGTACAATATTATATGTCCATTTTACATATATATATATTATGTGTATATTGTATAACATTATATATATGTATTTTACATATATTATGCATATATTGTACAATATTATATACATGTATTTTACATATATATATTATGTGTATATTGTATAATATTATATATATATGTATTTTATATATATATTATATATGTGTATATTGTATAATATTATATATATATGTATTTTATATATATATTATATATGTGTATATTATATAATATTATATATATGTATATGTGTATATTATATAATATTATGTATATGTGTATATTATATAATATTATGTATATGTATATTATATAATATTATACATATTATATATGTGTATATTATATAAGTATATTATATATGTTTATATCATATATATGTGTATATTATATAATTTATGTATTCTTTTGTAAAAGTATTATTTCATTATTACACAGAAATTTCTGTTTCAAAACTGAAAATTAAAACTTAAACTTAAAATCTATCTCTTGACAATGGAACAAGACTATGTATTTTAAGTTTAATTTTTATAATTAAATTTATAAATGTAGTTTCAGTTTTGAAATATAGAAATTTCTGTGTAGCAATGGAATCATATTTTTAAAAAAGAAAATAATTATAATATTTTGCTGTACTGTTTGTATTGAGAAATCTTTTAAAAAAAATAATTGCACCAGATTATAAATCTTACTGTTCTTTCTTATTATTTAATATATATATATAAGAAATACATTGTCACTCTTTTCAATAAGATATATACAAAACATGTATTAGAGATTGCTACTCCAATATACAAACCTATTTTTTGTATGTACGTAAAAATATACTGACATTTTTAGTATTGGCTATTGCTGTCTGAGCTCTGCTTAAATTCTTATAACGTATTATTTTTTTTATTTATGAACATTAATATTTTCAACAATAATCACTCATCACTGATCTCCCTTTTCAGATGGTCAGAGCCATAGTGTTTGATGATGATGCTATTACAAAACTAAAACTAATAAGGTATGTCCATAATTCTATAGGTCTATCCCTTCAATTTTAAATTCTCCTATTAAATCTAAAGATCAAATCCTATTTTATAACTTATCATTATGACATTGTTCTTTCAGCTGCTTGTCTGTCTAAAAAGAATTTGTTTATCACCTGGTTTGGTGGTCATTTTCAAGAGAATAATAATTACCATGTTGTGTGGAAATATATATATATATATATATATATATATATATATTTATATATATATTTTTTTTTTTTTTTTTGGTGATTTTTATATTTTTTGATTTATTAAAAAAATTACTTGAAATTGGAGAATAAATACTACTGGAACAATAATCTAAGTGAACAGATAAATAAAATTTTAAATGACTTAACTTTCAACTTGAAGTTTTGTAGATACACTCCCCACTTATCAGGGTGGGGAGAAATATATTGAATTTCATTAACAGATGCTACATTTATTATTTATTTTTATAGTGCCTATATTATATATATATATATATATATATATATATATATATATATATATATATATATATATATATATATACACAAATGTAACAAGAATGAAAAGAATATAGATTCAAACATTCATAGCATTAATTTAAAAGAGGGCTCAATACCAAGAGTAGAGCAATAATAATCTATTATAAAGATGCTATATTAGGACAAGCAAGTACTCACAACAAAGATGCATTTTTGTTTCAATGTCTCGTGACAGGTGAGGAACAAAGATGAACTATCTTTACTTCTCACCTGTCGTGATGCATTCAAATCGAAACAAAAATGCATCATTGTTGTGAGTAATTGTTTGTCCGTATGTAGCATCTTTATAATAAGTAATATATATATATATATCACTTAAAACATGAGTGCATATTTTTCTTTAATAGGATTTCTTGAAATATTCAGGCCAGTAAACAAACATAAACAAATGGAGCGTCTATTCAAATATGAGTATCCACTATAAATAATGTTTAAAGTGATAAAAATCTGTAATAATTGCATGCACATTGTTTGTTTTTGATTTTGTTGACTGCACAGTATAGTAGGGTCAGTTGGGCACTGTCTGGGAGAAAAAGAGCACCATGTGAGGGCAGTGCAGAGAATTCAGAAAGAGTTGGATGAGTCTGAGTGATTATGTAGGTACCACAACTCTGAAAACTCACTCTGATCATTCTGATAAAAACTCCTGAATTTGTTGGCAAGGGCCTCAGACTCAACACAGAGGCCTACATCAAGTGCCTTGATGAGGTAGTGCTGACCTAAGGCAAGAGGGTGGCTGCTGGATGACCTTATGTTTAGCAACAGGACTCTGCACCATGCCACACAAGCAGGAGAAAAGAACCCAGTCATAGATGTCAGATAATTTTTGTGACCACATAACCCCTTACATCTGGCCACCTAATTGCCCAGACTGAAACCCCCTATTTATGTGTGGGTCACAGTTGAGCAAGATACTAACAAAACTCATTGTAACAAGAAAGATGAACTGAAGGCAAGGATTATGGCAGCATTCACCAACTTAAACAAGGAGACTGTTTAGAAGAGTTGCAGGAGATTCTGAAGTCATCTGGAGGCTGTGGTTAAAGCCAATAGTGATTATGTTGAATAAATTTACTTTAATATTTCGAGATATTTTTGTATGATTTTGGTAAATATATCTGTTTTAAAATGAAATGTCAGTGTTATTTTAACTTTTGTGTAATTTAGACAAAAATTTATCCATCCTGTATGTGATAGGATTTTAATTAAGTATATCTTTCTATAACTTTGGGTTTTCTTTATAAATAAAACATTACCTTTATTTTGCTTGCATAATAAAACCAGACACCTTTCCTCTTCACCCAGTCTGCACCTCCCTGATTATTATGAGTGGGGCACAGTTGAGCGAGAGACAAACAAAACTACTTGTCACACCAAAGATGAACTGAAGGCAAGGATTATGACAGCATTTACCAGCTTAAACAAGGAGACTGCCCAGAAAAGTTGCAGGGGATTCCAAAGTTGTTTGGAGGCTGTGATTGAAGCCAATGGCAATTTTACTGAATAATAATTATTGAATTTATTTTAGTATTTCAAGATATTTTTGTGTAAATTTGGTAAATATATCTGTTAAATTAAAATGACATGTTAGTGCTATTTTCATTTTTACGTAATTTAGATGACAATTTATCCATCGCACCCTGTATATAATGACTGTCTACTCAATTTTGAGTATGAACACTTTCATTTTCATAACTGTTGCTTGGCTCCTTCATGAGCTCTCAAATAGGTTCTTAGACCTGCATTTGTTTTGACAACAAATAAGCAAATGTAACATACAGGTCTGGTGTCTTATTTCTTCCTTGGGAGCAAAGATTACTTTTCAAGCCAACATATGATTTGGAATCAAGTGCACACATAGATTTGGTTAATTTCAGCCAATCTCACTTGTCCAAGAGATGTCTATCCAGTTTTTAGTTAGTCTCTACTCT